CTTTCACATCGGCGGTCGACCCGCTAGCGAGATAATAACAGTTTTATATGTAGATGGATAGAGATAAATTTATATGTAATATATTTATTTATATGTAGGATGCAAATAGAGCCACTACATGGCCAGTTAGCGCACGAGTGAGTGGCGCTGCAGCTGTGGGAGAAAGAGAGTCCAATCAGCGCGAGCGAGACTGCCGCGGCCCTCGCAATCATGCTGCCGAAAATATGAAACAAATAGAATGTATAAATAAGTCAACGAATGCGTGCAATACACGGTGTGGTGCAATGCTGCGTCAATTCAGTGCGCACCCCAGCTTATCCTATTTTGATGTTTGCGCTGGATTATTTCAAAATCATCTACATATCCGCTCATTTGCGATTCGAGCTACCAATTCTGATAATTAGGTCTGCTTGAAAATATGCCACCTAGCGTTATAATACATTCTGATCATTGTCATTGTTATTAATATGTTCAATATGTAATTTAAAAATAGTTGCTACTGTGTTTAATTACATGCTACAGCAGTGAATGCGATTCAAAACAACTCTGATGACGGCTGAAAGTCTGAATTGCAGGTAATTCCTTGCTCAAAAAAGGTATAAATAAAGTAATAAAGCATACAAGTAGCCTTTGATAACGCACAAGGCGGAAAAAAATAAAAGTACGAATGTAAAGAATCGAAAGCAAGCGATTGATAAGTACTTCTGTAGGCAGAGCGCAATGCTTTAAAAAGCAGCACGCAATGCAACGTCGATTCATAGAGTCAGTGTAGAAATTCATTATCGAATTCAATTGTCGGCGCAATGAAAGCACTCGAGCTTTTACAATCCATCGACATTTGGCACTGAGAAATACAATTTCCGCATTGCTAGACCCCCCTCACTCTTTTCCCCTTCCCTTTGCACGAATAGAGGGAAAGAGAGAAACTGCCGCGAGCTTCGGGCACAAAACTCAATTCGTTGTTACTGCCTCGCGCCTTTCGATAAATGTTCCATGTTGCAAGCTCGTGTATTTCCTCGCGAACCCACTAACACACGTGCATAGCAGTTCTCGCACGAGTGTGTTGTGTGCATGCTCGTTTTATCTTTCCACGAATAATACCATCAAATACGTTTTTCTTTTTTTATTTTGGCAGATTTTCATCCTGCGCTATATAACCAGTGAAGAAAAACGGGAAAGGCTTCGTGGCTTTTCATTTAAATAGACGTAATCAATGCCATTCGAGTAATTTTTTATGTGAGAATTCTTATGAAAAACTACATTAAAAATGCTTTAAAAAGTCAAAACTGTGTTTGTAAATTGAGGTAGTCGAAACCTAGTCAGCGGTCTCAGCTTTCACTATCAAATATTACAATTAGCTGGAAAGTATCTACGAGAAGCTACATCGAAAAAAACTTTTATATGGATTAATAACACTCAAATATTAAAACAAAATTCAATTCAGTAAATGTAAAAATTGAACACGGAACGAGACGAAACTAGAAAAAATTATTCTTAAAATGGAATGGAATAGAAACTAAAGTGGGTGTGCAACCAAATTCGGTACATAAAATATACAGGAACATAGTAAATAAAAAACCCTTCTGTAAATGAATTTAAATTGGAATCTAAGAGTTACGTAAAAATTCAATTGAAAACAATTAATTAACCAACTGTAAAATACGATTTTATTAATCTGATATTTTAGGTTTCATGTATTAAATTTCAAATTAAATGTTTTCCATAACTTTAATATCAAATTAATGTTTGTTAATTATTAGTATGGAAGTTCCACATGTTACGACTGTTTTTATACGGTTAATTTTTAAAATTTTGAAATGAATTTGTATATTTGAATGTTAGTAATTGTAAAGGGTAGGCTATCTGTCTGAATGTACGACATAACTATGCCCAACAAAACACGATGAAATGTTCATTTTAGCAAAAGCCGCGTCCCGAGCGAGCGCAAGAAAAAAGGAATAAATGTGCGATGCCGTCGAATCAAACGGCCGCAAGTAACTTTAAATATTCTCTCGAAAAGGTTTCCGCGAGATAAGTTTCGCAGGCGTAGGCGCAGCAGCCCTTCGCGTCTACTCTCGTGCACGCATCGCAATCCCAGCGGCAAACGAAGTAGATGCTTGCGTATTACAAGATTGACGCGATCTGCGTGGGATTCGCGTATATGCCACATGCGTGACTATAGGCGACTCATCGTCGTCGGGCGCGTGCATTAATGATGAAAAACGCGCGTCGTTGTAACTTTGGCCAAGTGCGTAAATACGATCGTCATTCAGACAGCTGCTGCCACTGTGGCTGCTCTTGCTCAGACTTCAGCCCCTCGTCCAATTTCCAGCTTCATTTCTACGCTTGGCGCATTGTAAAAGTCGCACGCGACGATGTAAACGCATGTATTGCTTCAGTATAAATATACAAACGACGGCTACAACGCGTCGAACTGCCAACACGTGGCGTTTTGAGAGGACAATGCGCGCCGAGCCTCGTTGTGCGTATACACGCGTTGCAGCGCGCGCGTGGAAAACGCAATTCAACGTGGATATACAACGCAGTGCCTGTATACGTCTCATGCCAAAGATGCGCTCCGTTTCTCTCTCGTTCTCTCTATTATAAAAGAGCGAAAACAAAAAAAAATGGAAAGTAAACACTCTCAATCCCTACCTCTGGCTTCGTGGCTCGTCTTTTCTCTCGTGCGTTTTTTTTTCTTTTTTGCAGTTCCAAGGGAGAGAGACTGCGCTGAAGAACTCGACTGCATTTATTCAGCCCTTAGGCGGACATGTTCACGCAGACGTGCGCTCGTACATATTCGGGATTGTGCTGTGAATGCGTGCCTCCTTTCCCTCGCCCGTGAAGGGTAAGTATGTATAGCTGCGCGCAGGTATATACGCTACAAGCGCACGCGCGGGGGGGGGGGAGCGAGAGCGAGTATTTTTCTCTCTTCAAACTCGAGCTTCCTGAGAACTACGGCGCCCCTAGCCAAGAGGAATATAATAAGCCTCGAGCGAAGTACGAGTCGATGCACACTCCCTACGTATAACGTATTATGCGTGTCCTACACACCTACGCGATACGTAAGCGAATGTGCGTATAGCACCTGTACGCACACTTGGAGAAATAACTTCATGCTTGGACTGCTCGGCAACGTGATTACGTTGCGTCACTGCACGCCTCGCTCGGGATCGCGAGCAATAAGATGAGATTTTTCATTTTCAACTTGGGGAGTCGGTGAGAGGACGATTCGGCGAGGCCCTTGAGTCGATCGGTCGTTCTCCCTTTTTTTTTCAGCCCCGCTGTCTTACCGAGCTCCTGCAACTTTTCTGCGATTTCGCAAACCAACTCTGCCTATTGTACGGGCCATGTACAGGCCTAAAATCGGATCCAGCGTGTCTCGACGAGTTATAAGCCACTAGCCGTAGCTACGAATCCCGACCTAACTATATATACATTTAAAATCGCGTACCAGTCTCGGTCGGTCTGTGAATCGGATCTGAATAAATTAGGAAAGTTGGTCTCTCGCAGCTCTCAACTCGTCGCTCGAGTCGCGAAGAACTTGTACGAGCGGCGAAATGTGTGGCTTCGAGTGTAAGAGAGAGAAAGAGCCGCCACTGTCTGGCCGGTCACGTGGAATTCGACTAATCGCTTGTGAAGCCAGCCAAATACACTAAGCACAACCTGCCCCTCCGCAACATTAATTTGACTCCGAAGTACTAGCCCTGCTGTATTTCATACTTTCAAGTTATTTTACTCGGCTGCAAGCTGAGCAGCTGACGCTATAGGGCTTGCGGTCCAGTTGATGAATTATTATGAGCAGCCCAACTCGCGGCGACAGAATCTCCCTCGGCGATTTTGCATGATCTGTGATCTAACGAGTGGATGCGGCTGGAGCTCGAGGAAAAAATATCGGAAACGTCTACTTTGTCTCGGTATCGTGGCACGGCAACGTCTCTTAATCGAATTTGTTATGCAATAAATATTAATGCAAGCTTCATATAGCTTGGGACGGAGAAAAGACGAGCCACTGATACCAGTACGTGCAGATGAATATTCAGCCATGAGAGGAAAAGTTAATTTTCTTTTTCCTTTCGGCTTTCAGTAGACGCGCGCTCCTTTCTAGGTCTTTTGGCGCCGCTAGCTTTGCATCCACAAAGCAAATTTGACAATTTTTTTCCCAACCTTTTCTGCCATTTTTGGCACAAAATTTACGTCACTGCGTACGTACGTACACAAAATTTTACCTGTAACGAATTACACGAGGAGAGATTCGTAGTAAACTTGTTGGCGACGTGATGCGACAATTTAACGGCCTTGCTGCGAGAAATGCTCAAAGAAGTTTCATGAACAGCCTTAAAATTGGCTATTCACAGCGGAGAAAATCGCATCAAATCTGATCTGCAAGTTCCCTTCGCCAAAGTACAGACGGTTTTGTGCTCGAGCACGACTGAATTTTCCGTCAGACTTATTGAAAAATAAAAAGAAACATTTCCAGACTGAGGTTTAGGGTAATAAATAACTTTTCTCAAAATGTACAGTCTAATTCAAGTTTGTACAAGTTTTTATACATCTCGTTAAAAAAATCTATTAAAAGTAAATATATGTACAAGCTCAAGTCTCAAGAATATCAGTTGAAATTTTATAAATCATAAAGTATGTAACGCGGACTCGTTTACTGGCGCAGACATCCAACTCGGGCGTAAGTTTTTCTTGCGCGTTTAATCCAAAAAATCACGTTACGTTTGTAAAGTCGCGTCGTTGCCCTAGCCCATGCAAGACAAATAAAAAATCAGCCAGATGTGATACATTAAAGTTTTGATGACATTTCTAGTTGAAGACTCGCGAGGAGCAGCTATCGGCCTCGCTCATCCCTTCCTCTTAGCCCTGCAGGAAGTTGGAAAAGTTGTTGAAAGTCGAAGAAAAAGCGAATCTGTCGTTGGTTAATTACTTTTTATTTGTATTTAACTCGTAGCAACTTTGAAGATTTATCTTGCCTATGGTGCAGAAGGTAAAAGATTTAGTTGATACATAGATTTTCCTTTAAAACATACATTTTCCATGTTTATTTCGTACATTCATTCACATATATCTATCCATATATAGGTTCAAGGCAAACAAACCAGTCTACGAATTTCTGATTTCATCTCTCGCAGCAATATTGGAAAAATGCTAGCGTATACGGTGAGATAGTTTAGCACGTCGTATCTGTAAGTTAATGCATCGCATATTGAATATTATACGCAGTTGAAAAAACTGAAAGGATAAAAAGCATGACTCCAGTAAGGCTGTATACGACCGACTGGAAAAGATAGGCAGGAATAATACATACAGAGGGAGAGAGAGACAGAGAGATCAACACGGGAGTGAGGGAGACGACAGAGAGCGACTCGACCGCTTGTGATCTACGATTAAATTTCCTGGAGAAAAATAAAGATAGAGGCGTTAAGCTGTATGGGATCCCAACTCGACCTACCACCCTCCTCCGATGGTGCACAAGGGTAAAGTGATGCATCTTGCAATAAATAACGTTCCCGCGTCGAAACGCTGAGAGCCCCGTCTAGCCGCAGCGATAGCAATCGACATACGCGCGACGAACATCGTCGTCGCTTTCCAAGCTCGCGCCATCCGTCAAAAGCTCGGGACGAAGCTCGTTTTTCTTGAATTTCGATCGAGCTGCACGTCTGCACCGATGGCGAAGCTCGACGTTTTTAACGAAGACAATTTCGCGTCTTGCTTTTAGAATTCCGACGATTCAAATTATCATTCGCCGAGTTGGATTCTTCGATTGGAGTGCGTAATGCGGCTCGACGAATATCCAATTTCCTCATTCCCGAATGCGTAATTGCGCTCGCAAGCTCCCTTCCTTGGAGGCAAATTCTGCCTCGAATTGACCACTGCCACAAAACTTTGCAGGCAAGGGAAAAACAATTTCAATCTGTCGAGTTCTTAAAGTATGTATAGGCCACAAATAAATCGCGTCAGTCAACTATTTTTCAAGCTTGTGCAACTGTTATGTAGCCCAGTACAAGACTATAGTGTATTTGAATTGGCTGATTTGAATGAGCTTTAAATTATTAAATTAATCTTATATGAAAAAATGAAGTTATTCGGGTAATAAACATATCATAAAGTTGAATATGATCGAGCAAGACAGTCTTTTGAAAGTGTTTTTCTCTTTGTACGTAAATAATTCAAACAAAAATATGCCCAAATTAGGTCGAAGATGAGTATGTACCAAAGAATTGAAGCAATTAGAGGCATTCGAGAAGCATTTTTTGTAGTAGAAAACTTCTGAGATTTTTTTTGCACTAAATAGTAAAAATGTAAAAATATCAATTAATTTTGTATCGTTTTAAATTTATTCTAAAAAAAGTGTGTTCTTCTTGTAAAAACTTTCGTGTACAAGACACTGTTACGCCCCCTTGATGCAATTAAAATCTCTAGCTCATGAATGGCCCTTGCGTCTGTGTTGTCGCACGCGCGCCGTCATCCCGGCCAAGTTGAAGAGCTTCAAGAGTGTGCGTAAATACAACAGAATGTCATTTATCGACTCGTGCAAAGCAGCAGAAACTCAGGTTGTAACTGCTGTTGCTGCGTATTCCAAACTGCACATACATATCAGAGAGAGATTCGAGGGACCGGGAGGAAAGAAGGGAGGGAGGGCGAGAGGGACGCAGCTTGAGCTTACGCTGCGAAGGAAATTGTACGGCGCTCCGCCAATATTCCGGTCTTCCGGCATTCGACGGATATTATCTCATCTCAATCCCAGCATCTGCTGCTGCTGCTACCGCTGCTTCTGCCGTTGTTGCATATAACTTGGGCGGGCAGGCACCTCTCTGTATAGCTCTCTCTATCGTTCTCGCATATAACGGGCTGCTTTTCATCCGTTACGCTGCAAAGACATAGCGCAAATGGCTCGTGTTCTGTCTCTGTTTTCGAGAGACTCTCTTCCCTCATCCTATATCCAGGCCCGGCCGCGCGCGTCTGCCGTGAACGTGAACTGCGCGCGGGAATATAAGCACAAAGGGGGAAGCGAGCGTTTAGCGTGACTAATACCTTAGCTTACGTATGTATAGTTTGCAGTATTCGAGATAACTATAAGCTCGAGTCTTGGCCAGCAGCGGCAGCAGTAGCGACCGATTGCTCCACGCTGTTTACGTCTATTATACGCACAAGAGATTTTAATTACGCGCCACCCCCTCGCCTTTCCGCGCAGCTATCCGATAGCGTCGATCCCGAGTCTCTCCCTTTGATCCTGCATCCCCCGAGTGTATCCGTTTATTTTTCTCAGCTGTCAGACTTTTCGCAAAGTTTCTGCGCTCGTTTCGCTTAATTGATCTTCGCCACAGCTGCATCATCAGCTTCTTCGTCTCTCCTCCTTTTCTTCTTTATAGCCAAACCAATATCTCGATTGTTCGCAGAAGCTTATCCTCTTTTTATAATATACAGATTGTCTTCGTCGCGCTTCCTTTGATACCAAAGCAAATATATAGATCGTATTATTTGCTTATATAATCGCCCGCGCTACGCGATCCTCTCGGATTATAGCCTTTCGTTGCTGCAAATTATTTCATCGTACGACGGCAACTGGTCCTCTATCAGCTTGATGAACTTATCCAGGGGACAGAGCGTCGTACAACCTGGAATTTGCTTTTCAATGAAAACTGGCGGGATACCTTGGTAATGCAGCACCTGCGAGTTAATCGTGCATTTTTAATAAAGCTTGCCAAGCGACCATCGAAAATGTAATATCTCACAAAAATCTATATGTGTCATATCGAACCTTGACAAAGTGGAGATTCAACTGCTCCCGCAGCTCCAGCACGACGGCGCTCGAGTACTCGGGAATGTGCGGCTTCCACAGCTTGAGCGTTTGCAAAACCGACACGATGTTCAATTCGTGAGCGCCGTACAAAAAGAGCTTGCGACCATCGGCCTCGGCCCTTTTGCTCTCGGCCGTCATGTCGTCGACTACTTTACGCATCAGAGCACCTGCGCCACGCGACACACATAGATTTCAAACGAATAATAAATTTTATATATTTTAGCGCTCCTCGGCTCTTGCGACGTGAAAAATTGTTTCTGCACTCACCGCCGTTTATTTTTCGCAGCCAATCGGTGAACTTCAGCCGTTTGTATTCCAGGTATGTTCCGTTCAAAAGAGCACCGTCGGGAAAGTAATCATAGACCCAGTCCTCGAGCGTCTCATTCATGTATCTCATTGCGTCAAACTTGTGATACAACAGAAACATATCTCTGCTGCTGCTTACTTGACTACCCGTCAATCTCGTCAAATTTTTCATTGTCTCCTGGAATGGCTCGAGAAGCTTTTTAAACTCGGCGCTCGATTCAGCTGCTTTTAATTCTTGCACGAATCTGACCGTTGTAACGGAAAATAAAAAAGGTATGAGAAAAACGTGTATTTTGAATAAGAAATAGTGCAATCATGAAAATATCGGAGCGCACTAACCTTGGACAGCCATCGGGATAAAGTAAAACGTCGTTATTTAACGGAGCATGGGAATATGGTATCGGTTGCCAGTTTAACGATTTGTGCCATTTCTGGTGCTTTTGCGGCGGGTACAGTGACGCAAGTGTAAGTTGTAAACTCATCTGGGCTCTGGCGTACTCGGTGCTGCGAGCGAAAATCGACGCTGGTTCGTAAAATTCGCCCAGAAAATCACCATATTTTTTGCGTAGCTTTTCCCCGAATCGATAAGATCTCAGTCTTCCAGTCTGCAGGGGGCACAAAATTCAACGTTTTATAGGTCAAAAATATGTGACTTTTTTCCTATGTTTAGAAAAGAAATTTTTCACTATTTTCATTGTTTTTCAACGGAATATACTAACGTTTGTTAAACCTCCACCTTTTTGGTCGTTTGGTAAACGGTCTCCGTGTCTAAATATCTAAAAGATGAAAAAGTGGAACGGATAAATGATCGTCGAGTCGACATTTAGCAATCTGTTTTTTCATACCACTGTGACGGCACGCAAAGTGGGGTGCGAACGAGCCGCGTCACTTCCAAAGCACTGCAAAAAAGCAATGGTCACAAAGAGTAGCAGCGAGCTTTGCATGATTTTTCACTTTCACGTTTAAATTTGGCGTCGGCATCAGCTCATCGTAACTGATGCTAAAGAAACACTGCATGTGACTCGGACTATCGCATCTAACTCGAAATCGCACTGCAGTTGGAAACGAGAGCAGAGCTGTAAACGTTATCTTCGGCTCTCGTACAAGGACTTAATCGTCGACAAGAGCAAATAATCACGTTGGAATATGCCGTCTCTCTCGTTTACAAGAAAAAGTACGCGCGTCGCTGCAGATGGAAGCGAAGATTCAGGCGTGTTCGATGAGATTTCATCGGAACCTTCGACTCGACGAACGGATGTCATTGCGTAGTTTTTTTCCTACGCTATCTTTCTCGCGGCACAATCTGCTCATCGTTCATAATTCAGAGATGAACCAAACGATCTGGCGTCTTGCAGCTGAAAAGAAATTCAATTGCAAGACAGTGATAAGGCGCTAGCCGAGATAAAAATCGCGCAATCTCGAGTACCCCGTTTAAGATTGTACATTCGATAAGTTGATTTTCTTCTCTTTTTATTTGAACGATAAAGAGCTTGGCTTGTAAGAATATACCTTCGCTTGCACGTATATAGTAGGCTATCATAACAATCTTGACTTTCAAAAGCAAACAGAGTCGATGAAAAAAAAAAGTCGCAGAGGCGAATCAGCTTGCGTAGACGAGGACGGAAGAAACCGCAGCGGGAAAAGCGAGCTACCGAAAATAGTTGAATAAAAACGAAAGAAGAAAGAAGAAGCAAAACAACAGCGACGGTAAAACGGATTATTCGTCGATTGAGCAAACAGAAAGCGCGCCCAGAAATGTTTCATTCATTCGGTTGTAGGATTGCTTCGTTATTGTAACACTTTCTCCCCCAGCATGTATACGCAAATACTGCACTATCGCTGCGGTGGTAGGCTCGTAGCCGTTCGAGCTCACGAGTACACCTCGAGTTATAATCGATCAGCCGCGAGCTTTATGCCTCGTGCTCGCGCGAGCACCGATGCTTTTCTGCGTACACGCAGGGACGTGCGCGCGTTCATTAACGCGTTCGATCCGGATACGTGATTTCTTTTCGCGAGCATACCTATAGTGAATCGACCCTCAGTGGTGTCGTCGAATTATTACGGAATAACGCAGATAGAGAACTATTTAAACATCTTCGCAAATAATTACTCGCTCGGAGCCAGTGCGAGATATGTTTATCGGAGCGTGCATACAGAGATAGGATAGCGCTGTACAGGAGTTTTTAAAAAATTTACATGCAAAGGCGCAAAAGCGGCGCGATCGAAGCTGCACATGCAACTGCAGCACCGCAAACAACAATACTGAATATTCATGCAGGTCGCCTAGCGAAGGCCGAAGCTATAACGCGCTCCTGTGTGCATGTATATGGCAGCTAACAGCTCACCCGCATGTGCATGTGTATATATACGTGCACACATATAACTGACGTAGCCTAGGTGTACTCGGAAATCCCTAGGGCTCCCTCAGTTGCTCGCTCTATACGGAAGCCACTGAGATGACCAGCCGATTATAAGCCAACTTTGCCTGGGGCTATGTTTTTGCCTGGCCTGCTGCGTATAGGTATGGATACGACGCACCCAACTGTTCGCGCGCACACACTCGCAGCCACACGCATGCAGCAACATTAGCCAACTGCACTTGTGGTTTGGCTCGTCCTACCTGCATACATAGATATACTTTATTACGTAACGACGCTATTTCTAATCGTCTTTGACTGCTGTTACTGCTACTGTTGCTGCTCGACGCATAAATGCGTGATTTTCGCCGAGATTCTTATCTGCACGCGCGAGCTTGTGTACGTTGCAGGGTGTGCAGAACATCGAAGCGAACTTTAGCCCGTCAAAGGTGCATTTGGCGGGGTGGATTTTTCTACTCCAATAATGAAATTCAGCAGGTATTTGTATGTCATGCTTTATTGCTTCAACACCATCAGCAGCGGCGGCAGCAGCAACCAATGTACGTATATGGAATATTTATGCGTGTCTCGTGCCACGCACGAGATCAAAGACTCGAGAAATTCGTCGCTAATTTGAATACGCGACTAAGGTATGCTGTATATTACCCAGCTTATACGGCGAGTATACAGGTATACGGATCGTACTGCACGATCTCGCCGAGCTTAGAAATTCGTTCCTATAGAAATTTCGAAATTTCCACGATGACACTGTCAACGAGTCGCGGCAAAAGCCGAGCTGCTGCTGCTGCTGCTGCTGCTCCGACGCCAAGAAGAAGAGAATTGCGACACGGCGGCTCTTACTTACTGCCGTTCATAAGTTATATTTATGAGCTGCTGCAGCTGACGTGCGCTCATTCATTTCTGCGACTGGCTCTCGAGTCTCGGCGCGCACCAAACGACCTTTTACTTTTTCACCCGACAAATCTCCATCAACGATTAAACGCTGTCTTTTGCGAATTATTTCGCAGCGAATAGCGAGCTTCTCATTTGTATTATCGTATATAGGCGGCTGCGTACGAGTCGAGCGCGCGCGCGTACAGGATAATCGAATGATTGAAAAGCACCAAGCCACAAAGTCCATCGCGAAAGCAATAACGACCACGTGTCCCGAGTCCGAGCCGTGCGTGCGTAAGTATACATAGGTATATGGACAGGAGCTGAACGTAGAGAGAGAGAGCTGGTGCAGAGCGACGATTTCCTGCCTTGGGATCTTTCTCTGTCTCGCTCGCTCGTAATAATCAGCATCGACATTTCCGTCGTATGATTGCTCGTGGTTCGAATCGAGGAGTAATACACCGAAGCCATCATGTAGATGTAGGCGCACGCTCGATTAATCATAAATTGCCGATAGGGTCGAGTCGCGCGTAACGGATTGATTTATACTCGTTGTCGTGTACGCTCGCATAATACGCGTATTTGATGGAAGAGACAGCTTCGACGGCGCTGGTGGTGGTGGTGGCGGCGGCGGCGGCGTCAGTATGGATGGCCTGCCGTACTACGTATATTTAGAGCTGCGCTCCGTGTAGCGCCCCAGTGAGCAAGCCCCTTTTTTGCAGCCCCGTGTACCTGTCTGCGCGTAATACCTATAATACGCGTAGTCGTACAATCGTTGGGGCGCGCGCGGATATGAATCGGCGAGCGATTATCCTTGCTGCAGCTCCATCGAGCTGGCTGGCTGGCACGCGCGCGAGCTTCTTTGTTAACGTTCGAAAGGAGCGAAAAGGCCCTCGAGGCATACGCGCTGCGTAGCGTATACACGCTGGTGTGTACCTGTGCACGAGCCTACCTACCTCTACCTATGCTGATGAAACTGCTGAGTATTACGTGATTTACTCGGCGCCGAGCGCAGGACTCGACGCGAGTGAAGCGCGTTATACGGCCTGGACGAGGATTTTTTTTCGCAAACGCACGCATGAATATTCAATTTATTTATTTTTTCAACCAAAACACCGACTGCACCTAAAAAGCGCACATAGCGCCCGAGTTGAATAAATATTTAAATTGCTCTTCCTACGTATAACGTAGAGGCGGTATATATACGAGCGCGAGCGCGAGGCGCGCGAATACGTCGAGTAGAGAAACGGCATGTTTGATAGGCGTAAGCTCGCCCATGCGCGTTTCAATTGTACTTGCAGAGCAAGCAAACCTATACACACACACAAGCACACACTTATACGTATATAGAAAGCTGCTTGCACGTAGTAATTAATCGCTTGGCTAAAGAATTAAGCAATTAACTAAGCCATATATAAACATACGTATATATGATAGAAAGAAAGAAAACGAATACATAAATTGCGCGCGCGCGCTACGCACGTACTTCGAGCCTTTCATTAACCCAGACAATAAAACATCGACCAACTTGGCAATTAAAGCCGTGTTTTTTTGCCCGGCTCTAAAATATATAACAAAAAACACATAGGCGCAAGATCGATTTAGATTCGTCAAAGTATCGTTTCGCGAGTGACAATGATTTATGCGTGCATTTTATGCCCGACAACACGAAAATGAATCCATTGTGGGTTAACTTTTTGTAATTTTTTTTGCCTTTTATGTCGCCTTTCCTCGCCGCTTTTTTCACATTCCATGCGCAGCCTAAAATGTTTACAACGGCGAAAGTCGCGCGCAAAAGGGTGTTAGACGAAAGTTTCAGAGACAGCAGTGGCGGCGGCGGTGGCATCGCTGCAACGGTATCATCTACCGTGGAGTAGTACGTATATAGCATAAAAGCATTCAAAGCCACGAGTCTAAAAAGTTTGGGACGCGTTCGCAATGATGACGACGACGACGACGACGACGACGACGACGACGACGTCGGCCCTCGGATTGCACAACTTTTTGCGGCTTCTCGGCTGCACTGCGCGCGTCAAGCCGTTAATGGAAGGACGACGTAGGAAAATAGCTCGCCCACACACCCACACACACTGAGAGTCGCGAGTTCAGAGACAAATGCTAATACCGCTTCGAGTCGCAACGGCATCGTTGCGAGTACTCCTACGTATATAACGACGAAAAGAGGGAGAGAGAGAAAAAAAGAAGAACGCGTAGATTTCAGCAGTAGCTCGAGATTCATAACTTAATGGGAAGTTTATGTCGACCGCGTGCGCGCACCCCGAGAATCTCTCATTCGAGCAGTAATGCACTCGGCTGAGCAAGAATGCCTCGTCGCGCTTGCGAAGAATAGAGAAGAATATAATAATAGTAATAAGACTTGGACAAACAAAGCTCGCGCACACGCACAAGTGCACACCTACGCGAGCAACTTGAAACAAGTCGTCGTCGTCGAGGCTTTTTATGCTGAGAGCGAAAAATGGGTGAAAAATTAAAAACTAGCAGGGGCACGCGAGAAAGAATCGAGCATTCGCGCGCGCGCGCTTTGTTATACATATATGCGCGATGCACAAGCACGAGTAAAGAAAAAATTTGCTAATTGACCCATTTTTAATTGGGTTAATGAAAAAATATTTCTCTTAACGAGTCGTGCGCGTTGTTTATGCCCCGAGCTTACCAGCAATTCGCCCATTTAAATCTAAACGCGCTCCGTAGGCGTCTTACATACGCACATATTATATTACATAAATTAAATTTTCACCGAGCGCAGCGCG